AAAAAAAAAAAAAAAAAAAAAAAAAAAAAAACCCAGCCCTAGCCCGAGTTATCCCACGTCAGCTCCTCAGCAGCAGTCATTGGTGAAGTCACTGTGTGTGGAGGAAGAAGTATGCCATATTAACTTGTCATGAGGATATGCCATATCAGTTCTATATTTAACTTGTCAAAGAAAAGTATGTTTGTCCTGTTCTAAAATTTGATATCATATATTTTTTGGTGGTTGTCTTTAAGTTGATTTACTAGTTAAAATCCGAGGTAGATGAATATTCCTGTATATATATATATATATATAGGAAAAAGCAGAGATTGGTAGCTTGGTACATATTTCCAGATCTACTTTGAAAGCTCTAAAACTTTGGAAAAGTAAGACTTTCCAGAACATCTTTCTCATCATAACATTCTCATTCATCAATTATTAGGTGCTACAGCGTAGCCTTTTGTCTTATTCCTAACAGAACATACAGTCCCAGGTCCGTCCTCAGAAAAGAGAGAGAAGGGATGTCCCAAACTTTTCCTTGGCGTCTTTGTCAAAAGGATCTTCTCCCAAGTACATGTAAGTGTAAGCCCTGCAGAGTAGTTCACTTTCAACTGTGCTCACAATCTCACCCATAACTGCATTTTCCATAAGATTGAGTGTGATAATTATATTCACCCAAGATGAAAATGTATCGCTTTGTTTACCTTTTGCTTGGAGAGTGTATCCTGGAAGCCTAGATATCTCAATAGTAGAACCAGGCATGAGCTTTATCTCGTCCGATGCTTCTCCCATTATCCTTTAGTGAACAGATAAAGCAGGTAAGACAGTGTGTGCGCGCCTGTATATAGAGAGGGGAGTGAATGGGGTGGGGTAATTATGTGAAAACAGTGTAATTACTTTTTGGTGAGTTCCTCATTTTTCCCACCAGTGAGCTTTTTGATGGCTGCTCCAAGGCCTTCGTCGAAGTTCTTCCTTACCATGTTCATGGTGAGGCCGGAGTAAACAATAACCAGTCGTACCATCATTCCCACATCACTGTCAACCACCATTTGATACATTTCCTTTGTTGGTTTCGACGGGGCTCTCCCAACTTTTCTTGTTACAAGTTCTCTCAATTTCTCATTGTCTGCATATATCCCTGTAATTCGACAACTATAGAAATCAGCACACTTTGCAGTCAGTTAGTGATTGTGAGATATTCTCCCCGTATGAATAAAATTTGTTATATCCTGACATGATAGTATTAAAAGGGAGAAAATTTGTTTTGATCAAACAACGCGAAGTCTTTATCCCCGGATAAATCATGCATATTCTAGTATCCTAGGAACAAAATTACATATGTGATTCAAGTTGCGAAAAAAAAAATAGGTGAGTAGGTAGATAGTAGATTACCAAAGGCATAAATTTTGATGCCCATGCCAAGCATACTCTTCTTTCTCAAACCAACAGCTTTCAGCAGCTTCCCATCATCCAACTTACCTGGAAAAGAAATCCCAGTTTTGGCTTCAACTTCATCCGCCTTAGCCTCGTCTTTCTTGTTCTCTTCTCCTTCCTTCTTCACAGAACTGTTTGGTTCAACCTTGGGTTCAGCCTCATTGTCCTTATGGTGGACTACAGTTGAATTGATAGCAACCCCGGACTTGGGCTCGGTCTCCACCATCTCAGCCTTTGTAGTGACATCCTCCACAGTGGTTGGCATTCTTAATTTAGCGAGTGTATAATTGAGAACAGAGTTGGATATTTAGATGAGAATCGATAGGATAGGAAACCTGAATTGAGAGTTGAAAACGAGTTGGTATATATAGGGAGTTATGGGGTGAATGGAAATGCAATTTTGTAGTTGCTTTGGGAGTTGTACCATTTCTTACATTACGTCTCTACCTCGGTATGAGCATTATGATAAGGGATGTTAAATTTGCATCCTGTTACCTCATTGAATGTCCGTCATCTCAAGAATTTAACCTGTGTTTTCTTGATTTCTGCATTTTTATTTTTATTTTTATACTTAAATGTGAATATCTCCAAGTTGAAAACTTTGGGTTATTATCTCACGCAGTTTTTGTTTCTCATAGTTTGTTGTCTGAGGTGAAGTGTAGTGATGACCCCAAAAAGTGCGCCAACAGATGTCGGTCCCACCCGCGCTTGCGTGGGCGAATGTCCAGCACGCTAAGACACGTGGACGGTCTAAACGAGCGGCTCAAAGGGGGCGTGGGAGTAGCCCAACGACGCGGGACGGTGACATTCGGGATCCGGCGGGTTGTTCGTAATCCGGTTGTACAATGATTACCAACCGGTGCTCGTAGATATATGCAAAAATGTATAAACTCGATTTGTGTATTGCCAGTAAAATGGGAGAGAGTTGAGTAAAATGTAGTCTTTAGTATTGATTCTTGCATTAGTCCTTTGATGTTATACAATGGGGGTATTTATAGTGATACATATGGAATGGGGGCCCTTGGATGAAGTGGCACGTGGCCTCATCTCCTTAGTTTAAACGTCTGTTCTTAGGCATGAGATTTGACTTGCTAGCTTACGGCGCATTTATTGCTTGTGCAGGGCCTCCACGCTAGTGACAAGACTTGACCTTTATGCTTATGACAGACATTCCATCAATCATTCGAATAAGATCTGTGCAGGCGATCTCTTGGGAGAAGTGACCATGGAGGATGTTTCCTTGTGGTTGAGGCTCGCGCATCAACTCCGGGGCTTCGTCCATTCGAGGACCTCAGCTACAACCAAGAGCTTCCACGCCTCGGGCACGGAGCCTCGGTTAGAAGCAGTTCGGATGTAACCCACCTCGACAATGTGGCCACCTCGACAGGAATGCCACGTGGGTCAGGATGAGTGGCCCACTGGCCCAGGTGGATAGGACAGGTGTGACAACACGCAACAATAGTCCTCTAAGTCCAAGTATGATCATTAATGTAATGCGTGGACTTTAACGGAGTAAAAGTTGAAAGAATTTTTGAATTTTTTGAACCGGTTTGATTGCCGAATGGCATATGAGGAAGCCGAGGTGGTTGGAAAATCGAACCTGCGAGGCTTGAATGCTGAATGCGCCAGAAGAAGCCGAGGTGGTTGGGAAACCGAACCTGCGAGGCAACCTGCGAGGCTTGAATGCTGAATGCGCCAGAAGAAGCCGAGGTGGTTGGAAAACCGAACCTGCGAGGCTTGAATGCTGAATGCGCAATGGTAATTATTGTGCTTTGGTCTCTGTGCCAATGATTTGATGTTTTGTGCTTGTTTTCGAGGAAAGGTAGCTGAACCGTTACGACTTCCAAGGTGCTGGCGCCGACGAATTAAAAATGCAATTATGAGAGCAGCTGGCGTTTCTAGAAGCAGACGCGCTGAAGAGGTGCGTGTGAGGTACGCATAGATAGGAGGCGTAGGATTTCAAAAACTGTTTGAATTCAACGCCTCGGATTGGATCTGAAACGGAGGGCTCGGATTGACTGAGATTTGATCTGACGGGTGGGGTTCGTCTTGGACCCTTATAAAAGGCGAGAAAATCCCACTTTCCAGAAATTTTGAACATTTTGCATTCTCAAATTCTCTAAATTTCCCATTTTTCGGCGTCGAGGTTGTCTGCGATTAGATTCCGACCAGTCTCCGTTTGTGTTGAACTCTTTTAGGTATTGTTTGCATAAAAAACCGTCGTTATTCTTTGTCCTCAAACAATGGAGTCCACTTCGGGTAGGGAACTTGTCACAGTAGCATCTTTAGATCATGGGGTAGGTCATGGGGGGACTTCCGAGGTGGATAGGTATGCCATGGTCGAGGAGGACGTGGATTATACCCAGGAGTGGGGGGCTTCTAGAGTGCCCTCAAACATGACGGGGAAGAGGTTAGGGAGCTTAGGGAGAGGTACAGTGTGCCTCATAACATAGAGATGTTAGTCCCCGAACCGAACGAGCGGGCCTGCTATCCGAGGCCCGGCTGCGTGGCCGTGAGTGAATACCTGTTCAAAGCAGGTATGCGTCTTCCTCTGCACCTCTTCTTTAGGGCGGTGCTTAGGAAATTTATGCTGTCGCCGACCCAGGTTCTGCCGAATGGGTGGAGCCAGCTGGTCGGCTCGTACTTCCTGTGGAAGGAAGTTTCACTTGGGGAGGACATGCCCCTTCATGTCTTCATGACCCTGTTCCAGCCCCGGGT